GAGACAACACTGGAAGTGTGTGAGTGATGCGTGCGTAGAGGTGACAGTTCCATCACCTCGTGACTGCACGTCTCATCAGGGAAATAAAACTCACCTGATTTTTTAACAGTTAAAAACACCTGTCCAGGACAAATAGATGTTTGACCCTCATAATCAAACGATCACGGCAAAATAATATGACAGAAAACAAAAGACATCTGACATCTTGTCAAACAGTCGGAGGTGAAATGAGGTTTTTGTTCCTAACATAGTATTTCCTACATTTTCAAGATTTATTTAAATTATCCAATTTGACTGAATTTGTCTGAAACTATTACTCGTTCAATGTTAATCATTTGTCTAAGCGACAGCGACAAGTAGAACATTCAAATACTTCCATTAAGTAGTAAAGTATTTAAATATATCAGACGGCTGTAAAGATCTTTCGTTTTTATGACATTCTTTGAAGAACACAAGGTACATAACAAATTATTTCAAAACGTTTCCCACATTTAATAAAAGCTGTGAACTGAAATGAATTGAAAAAAATAATCTTTCAGGGGGAAAAGTACCGATTGTTTCATAAGTGTGCACGCCCATAAGATTAATCCTTAGCTGAGGAACTATTTGATTTAATCACAGTGTTTAGTCTTTAATTGGTGCTCACCTGACTTTGGTCAAAGATCTCTCTCTGTTGTTGTAGGATTTAAGCTACCGTTCACAGAGCGCTTCTGAAGAATCAGAAAGGCCTCGTTTTTTTAGATATTACTCAGGAGATGAGTACTTTTAAACCAATCAAATGCTCCGGGTCAACTCACCGGAGGGTAAACATTTAATTTTTTTTTTTTCCCATTTATAGCTACAATGTTTTTTCTATAGTGTCACCTTTCTTTATACCAATCAAACGTACGCACACAGACGCCCTCCTGGATATCTATAAAACTTAGCTACAGTTTGTTTTTCCAAAAAAAAAGAAGAAATCAACGCCTACATACAGCAAAGATTTACTACAGTACTATATATATATATCACACAATATGGGGTTTCGCAAGAAGCACCTGATGAACTGCCAACCATGTGTACATGTAACTATCAGTTTAAACAAGAATGTTTTACTTGAGGTGTGGTTCTCCTCTGGGAAACAAAAACACCTCGCACTGAAATGCAAGTTACCGCATCAACACAGGCTAGACTTTTATTGAGCATAATTATCAATATATAACGTGCAGGACCTTTCCAAGTGTAATGTTGTAATGAGTAGATATTTATCTTAAAGACTTACTTCCTGCTCTGTTTTTTTTTTTTAAAAAAAAAGCACCAGGTGCAACCTCAGGTTTTTTTTTTTTTTTTACAAAGTCGTGTTTGACTTTTGTAAAAAATAAAGATTGTTGCACATTTTAAGGTCTGTGTTTAAATTCTTGTTCAATTCAAAGCAAAACGTTCCTTCTGTCTTTTTTGTCCTTTCCGTCCTTTTGCTTTTACCATAGTCTCTGATGGTTTGTTTTTCCCTTTGTGGATATTCTCTACCTGCATCAGGGCCTTGTCTACATTGTAAACATTGCCATAAGGACTTATTTATAGTTTATCTGAAACAAATCATCATTGATTTGGAATTGTATTTTATTTTTTCTGTGAGAATATCTGTTTTTAGGAAGAATAGAGTTTTGAAAAAAGTTCAGTTATGATAACTATTATTAAGTCAACTGAAGGGTACTTGGAAACAGTACTATTTAATGTACAAAAGGGCGGCGTAAGTCATCAGGTTTTGGTCATTTAGCCACATTTTTGTACTTGAGGTGACACAGTGGTTGATGTAAACCACCGTTTTTTTTTCTTTCCAACAACAAGAGAAAAGACGAAAACAAAAGAATGCAAAGACACAGACGTTGTTAGTAACTCAGTTATTATTCAGTTTGTACACGTCCAAACACATGCTGGTGTCTGGACGAACTGCAGCGCGACAGTAAGTAGGTGAGTTTTCACTGCCCATAAATAAATGTTTATGAGCATGCAACTCGTCAGAGCTGAGCAGCAAAGAACCTCGGAAGAGTTTTTCCCTTCAACGCTGTTCAGTACACTTCATGAAACCAGCCAGTGAGAGGCCCAGCTTCAAATCTTCCATTCTGTGGTTCAAACTTAAGTCTGGGAGCAATGTGTAGTAGTGTGTGTGTGTGTGTGTGTGTGTTGGGGGTAGGAGAGCGCAGCGCAAAAAAAACACACAACATACTTTTTGATTTATATCTCTACGGTCTTGTTCTGACTGGTTCTGACATCACTCCGTTCTCCCTTCACCAAAATCTGATAATGTGTCAAACATCCTTCCAATCATGGGAACAGGAATCATGGACAGATTACAATGGATCGTTGTTACATCGAGTCTGAAGCTGGGCCCGGGGACGTACACGTGTTGTGAGTAAACAGAGAACATGTAAACAGTAACACACACTCCTCTTTAATATATAATCTAATGTTTCCCCGTAACATTACACAGAAGAAACTGGATTAAATGCAGGCTGCTGTAATGGTGCTTCTGTGCTCGAATTAAAGGAATATATTTGGGTGTTTGTTTTTTTCATTTAAAGAGACATTTTCAGAGAAACCATTTTGCCTAAATATCAGCCAGCCTTCACAGCTTTAACCAATGCCTACACTGAAAATTCCTCCTTGATAAGAGGCTTTACAACAGAAGGGACGACGTATTAGCCAATATATGTTCAATCACCAACTGTTATTTTTATCAATCAATCAAGCAGAAGAAGAATCAAGAATCTTTATTTGTCACATGCATGCATACCAAAGTGCCAGAAAAGACGAAAAAAAGAATTCTAAAATTATAAAACTATATAAGATAATAACTAATGGTGATTAGGAATGGTTTGATTGTGCAGAGAAGAGGAGAGGTCGGTGTTTGTGGAGGTGAACGTTATCAAACATTTACAATATTACAGTATTCACAATATTTGACCAAGAAAATTCAATATTTATATGACGTTGCCTGGGAGGTTGACTTTCTCTGCCGGAATAAAAGAGTTCAAATTGATAAACATGAAGGTCACACTCGCAGTTGCCAGAGTTACTGTAATTATACTTTGTTCAAATGTCAAATATAATAATAATAATTAATATACGGTTAGTGATGACGCGGTAGAGGCTGAACATGCAGACATGTTTAATAAATGACGGTGGAACTACAATATTTTGCTAATTTACTGCAAGATTTATGAGTGAAACAATTGACTGACATCCACCACACTTGCTAATTTACTGTAAGATTGTGAAACAATTGACTGACATCCACCACAGGTCATCAGAACTGACCTCTGGTAAGTGACCTCTGGTCATGTTGTTAATGAAAACACCTACAGTACAGCAGCTTAAACAGCACTGATGCTGTGTATTTCCTCATACTGTAGGTACAAACAATATTTCCTTATAATAAAAAAACAAAAACAAAACAGTTTGAGTTCACGCAGCCAATGTGGAGTTTGACTAACGTGGTTATCAGGGGGGTCTGTGGGCTGTGAATATAAAAGATTGTCAGGGCTTTTTGTTCCATTCCCACAGTGACCACAGCTACAGATCAAGTCTCGTCCCTCGCCCGGACACTCAATTCATTCATGTTAAATCTCAGAGCACCGACTTATTTGGGACAAAACATTTTGTTTACAGATCCCGCAGACCTAAAACGGCCGATAAGTGTTGACCTTTGTTCCTTCAATGCAGCTGCCGGCTACAGCCTGCTGCCTATGTGCTTCAAAAACAATCACTAAACAAGAAGAAATCATTGTGACAGCATGGCAACAGGACGCCTGCAGTGAAGAATAATGACTCTTTTAATACCTCTGTAATAACAACGTTAATCGGCGAGGTCATATATAAATATTATTATGACACTTATTACTATTATTATTATTTTTCTTCTCTTTTAGTAGATTGCTTGTTTATTGTCATTTATTTTATTATATTAAAATAAAGATTTATTTTATTTTTTTTGACAGTAGTTCAAAAATGTTGGATGAAACTTTCAAGAGACATAATTTAAGGGCCCAGGTGTTTCCTTTGGGATTTCTGTGCTGAGGTCAATAAACTGAATAGATTTTATTTATTCTCTGCATATTTCTTAAAATGTGGTTAAATCAGAAACAACAGGACTAAGTACAGATTTTTATCAATTTACCATTAGGAAGAAGAAACTACAATACATTGTGTCTATTCATTTGGAAATTCAAATATAAGGTCAACAACTGTGGTGCTCACCAACTATTTTGTCTTTTATTTCAGAAAATAATCATAATAATATAATATAATATAATAATCATAATATTTTTCTTTAAATACAAATTTATTCAGACTTACCTCAGACCTGATTTCTGAATACATTACATGGATTTAGAGAAACAAACCAAAATTAAAATCATTAATAAAAAGTAAAAATGTTCTGTCTCTCATATTGGTTATTTGTATGAATACAAATTAAACAGGGTTTTAAAAATTATATTTCTTTTTAAAATGAATGATAAGGTATGTAGAGATTTGTGTACCTACAGTAGATACACATTATACATATACATAAACATATACGTATATTCTATGTATAACTTTATTTATATATTTCCTGACTGTTTATTTTCCATGTATTAAATTATTTATTATTAGATATAAATATCGATGAAATATTTTTTTACAAATATACTTTCTATTTAACGAACTATTTTGACCGTTACCTGAAATATAAATCTAAAATGATAATGTTTACACCTTTTTTCCTCAATTTTTTTTTAAAACTCTTTTTCTCAGTTTTGTGCCATTAAATTATTACCATTCGTATCATTTTCCATGTGTCCCAATCCCACTACCACGTATAAAAACTTTTTCCTCCATTCTGACTGCGTACTTGTAACAGCACGTTCCGTTTCGCCAAAATGTCGTTGCAGTGAGCACACAGTGATATAACGGATTATTTTAGTCTGATAAAATGGTTGATGTTCGTGCAGATAAAGCTGTGTGGAGCAGATACTCACTCTCTGCAGCGGCTTGATGACAGCTCATCACGAAGCAGGCGACGGTCAAAACTAAACACAAAGTCCGAAGACACATCACTGACTCTGGGTAGCACACCATTCAGCTCCGGTCTGATAAAAAAAATATATTCCTCGGTAAAGGAGGGAGGTAAAGTTGTTGTTAAAATAAAGGAGGATGCCTTCAGGAGACTGATTTTGTTTTGCGGCGTGGACCAACAGGTAAACAAAAATAAAGGAAAGACATTCCGGAAGATGGGCGGAGGTTCGAGTCCAGCGTGTTCAGTCAAACACAGGCTGAAGCTGCAGCGGCTGCAGCCGAAGTTAGAAGCCTGCGCTGTCCACGCGTGCACCACAGCCCCGTGTCGTGTTCTCCCATAAACAAGGAATAATTAAAACATGCAGCTTCACGTTGTCCCCTGTCACGAAAAAAGAAGTTTAAAACGATCCCTTGCCCTTTGGAAGGAGGAGCTAGAGCCAGTTAGCCGCCTAGCTTCGATCCAGTCCAGGCCACACTCAAGTTTGCGCTGGTCTTCTCCGCAGCACTTTTACGTGCAATAATCTAACGCCGTTTATATGCAATTAATTTACATGCAACCACAAAAAGGCTGCGTGTCTACAAACAGTTGTCAAAAAGAACAGACTTATCTGAACTCTGAAGTGTTATGGAAGTCGTTAACTGCAGGCTGTGGCATGCGTGGCGTCAACGTTTGCATGTCTTTGGGTTAAAAAAAAATCCTCTTCGTTGGAGCAAACATCCAGATTCAATGCTGCTTCGCCTGTTTGCGAAATAGCAGCGTTTTTTTTGGTATCTTTGCTGTTTTGTTTTTTTTTTCTTTGCTCAGTGCAGAGATTTCAGTGAGACTGTGGAAAGCTGGCAAACACTTCACGTCGAGGCTCAGCAGCAGCAGCAACAGCCCACTTTCCCTTTTATATTTATTTATTAAAAAAAAAGAAATTATAATTCAGGAATTATCTGTAACATCAATATTGATACGATCCGAGTGACGCTCCTGCTCCCCCAGTTCCCTGGTGCGACGGGACAGAACGCGAAACGACGGCGTTGCTGTAAAGTTTTGCAGTTGTTATGATAATATTTTTCTCCCCGTCTCTTCTCGCACAGACAGAGGTAGATGGTCGAGTAGAGTCTCCTCTCCAGCAGGACCTGCAGGATCCAGTTCTTCTTCTCCTTCTCAGCCTCTCCACCAGTAAACAAACCCAGCCAGTGAGCCAGATGGGCTTCAGGGGAAATACGGACTGGAGCTTATTGGATTACACTACAAACCCATCCAAGTGTCAGACCGTTAAAAAAAGAAAAAAGAAGCAGTTATGTGCAGAGTGGAACACACACGGACTGTTATTTGATTCATAAATACAATACACATAAAGTGAAGACATAAGTGAGAATGATCAGGAGGCAAAGAACAGACAGAGCCATAGATCATATATATATATGTATATATATATATAAAACACGGACCCAGTCAACCTTTAGGGAAAAAACTGTATTAAATTTGATGTAACAGTCAGTTGTTTTTTCCCAGATATTCTCACAGACTTGAGATTTAAACGAGATTTTCCTTTTTCCTTAATCTATGTATTTCTTTTGAGCGTCTGCTTTTTTAAGGAATCAGATTTTTGTCTCATAAACTTTGATTTTTCTTCTCTTGGTTCGACAGCAGCACTCCATCCTTGGTGTTGTATTACTGCCACCTACTGGGTCTGTTTACCACTGTTGTAACAGCAAAATCTGTTTTAATAATGTTATGAATTGTAAGTATAAAATAAAGGAAACAGAAATCTTTTTTATTTTATGCTCTGTAATAATTGATACATTGATGAAAATACAAAAAGAAATCATGTGAATGCATTCCATCTTTTTATGTAACTGACTTTTTTTAGGGGGAAAAATTGCTGTTTTTATGTAAACTTGAACTGCACAGTAAGCAGATAGACAGTTTATGGTTAACCCGGTGGTTAAAAACCCCACATATAATGTAGAGCAGTAAACTCCAAATTACCGGGGCAGGGTCACATGAGGGGCCCCTCAAAGGTGTTGTTATGTTGAGCAGCTTCCCACCTAATTTTGTTAGAGTAACAAGACACACTTCTGCGGACATGCTGCTTATTTATTTTGTGACATATTTGGCGTTCAAACAAATTCTTTCTAAATATTTTGCACATGATTTGTGGTTTTCTTCTTCTTATGTAAACCCTAGATTTGGTCATGTAATGGAAGAATGTGATTCAAAAACAAAGTGGGAGTGAAACGTCAAAACACAGACGTCTTTTTCCGATTAAAGCAATATAAAAATATTAAATTTTAGCAGCTACGATTGTCTGTGTTTGGTAAAAGTTTTGTAAAAGTCCTGTTCATATATAACGAGTTAAGAGGAAAAAACACAGGAGGAAATTGAACTCTTTATTGATGCAGCCACAAAAATAGAATTTAATTTTTGTTTTGATCTTCACACTCAGACAGACCGGAGGAAAAGGTAGCCTTGTTTTCTCACCGCAGAGATGGAAATATCTGTGATTTTGCTTCCTGTCATGTTCCACAGCTTCTGCTCCTCAACTGCTTATTCACTACCTGTTTACCACCGGACATCAGCAGCAGCTCTGAGGCAAGATAATTATATCCTGTTTTGTACAATAACAGATTTACCCAGAGAATATGAATCTAAAAAAAACATTCTGATCATCTGTGTGACCTACACCACACACAGGAGCAGTGGGCCACACTTCTAAGTCCACCTGAGCAGCAAGGAGTTCTTGGCCCATTCTGATCATCTGTGACACACAGGAGCAGTGGGTCCACCTGAGCAGCAAGGAGTTCTTGGTGCTGGATCATCACACCACGGCCCGGCACTTTTGGGGATTCGAACCATAAAGCCTGCCATTACAGGACGTAGACTTAAAGAGACTGTAAAGCCATGAAGAATCCCAACGAGGATGGGATTGGAACACAGGAGTGTAGAGCGCTGTGGATTAGCGGTCCATTGTTCCGTGAGCAAGGAAGGACTAAGTAAACTCTGCACCGCGGTCTGAACAAGCAGCACTTACAGTGGAGCCGGAGGGAACAAAAGGTCACTGACAGTTTGAAAGTTATGAGCCACTGAGCCAACTGGAGCAGGACTGCAGTGCAGTAATATCTTGCCTTAGAGAGAAAGCATGTCTTAAGTATACCTCTGGGTATTATGGACCTTTACCATAATCTCCGACTGAGGCTCGAGAACGTAGGAGTCAGGTTTCCATAATGAGATTAAAGCCAATGGCTGATGACTGACCAAAGCCATGTCCCACTTTCCATTCATCAGGAACACACACACACACAGTTTCATTAAAAAAAACACAGACGCACGCGCACACACACAGTCGCGTCCCCAATTTACTGGTTTCACGCCATTTCACACAAACAGTTTTATTACAGGGAGACGGAGGTTGATGGAAGTCGGATACAAATAATTAAGTGTTCCATTTAGCTCTAATTGAACCAAACTTGTTCTGGGCTGTTTTGCTCAGACCCAGATCATTACACGACATCCACATGTTTTTGAGTCTTAGCTGAACCAAAAAAACAATGAGTCACAGGCACATGACGCCACGGCTGATAGCATGTCGTGTCGCTCAGGACTTCAGAGCTCGTCGTCTGAACTCTGACCTCTAATCCTGACAAACCTCCCTGACCTCTGCTGGGGTCAGCTGTTGACATGGACTGTTCAGCACTACACAGCCTGACTTCTGTGGCTGCTGGTGACTGGGGGGAGGAAGTGGGGGCAGGGCTGGGGACGGTTGATGGTTGAAGCGGACAGATGACCATGTTTACTGTATACGCCTTCTTTTTACATAAACATAGAGCGAGATGTAAATGGAGGAGGTCACCTCACTATGACCAGACGAGTTGATGAAAACTCTTTACACTATATATCATAATATAACTGTGGGTTTAAATAGTTTCTTACTGATTTTAATTATTTTATTAGAGATTCCCAACTGGGTCACATGACTCTGCAAAGCACACAGCTCACTTTATACTTCTTTATTTTCCACCTAGTGCTATGTTAATAAAATCGAGTTATTACAACTGTCACTGTAAGAGTGACTGAGGAGGAGTCAAGATTAAATAAAATCCTGATTTCAAACTATGTTTGGTGAATAATAATAATAATTAATATTATACATGTAATTGTGTCCAGATTTTGGCAGGAGACAATGATTAAAGGGTCACACGATGTCCCCACATCTTAACTTCCTGTTGTAGCCATGCTACGTTCCTTCCGTTGTGTTGTTTCAACATCCAATATTTACATGTAAATTGTTGAAACCCTTCCGTCTGTAATCCAGGCCAAACAGGAATGTTCAGGAAAAGACACCAACTGTGTCATTATATTTGTGATGGTAATGACTTTAAATGGCAACGCAAAAGTACCATTACGTCCAGATACCGTAATACATATATTAAAACGAGGCTCAAAGTCCATTTAATTTTCCCGTAGATGTGAAATGTTAAATAATGCAGTTTTAATCACATTAAACCATAAAATGATTTCATAATTACTGTGACCTTCTCCCACAGGAAACATTAGCTGCACCAGGATCACATGGACCTGGTAAACATAATGCAAAACACTGAACTTCCAGAAAAGTTTGGAAAAGTTTAAACAGAAGAATAGAAGATGAATGTGATCTTATATAAGAGACAGACTTTGACATCTGCTGCCAGCAGCTGCATTCACAACGCCACAGCACGGACCTTTACCTGATTCTGACATATAGGGGGCACCCTGTTAAAATGTGACAGCAAAAAGAACAGGGTCAGAGTTCAGTGAGATAAGAGCCAGCGAGTCTATTCTTCTGTACATACTGTGACTGTCAGTACTTTTACCATCCACATGCTCCCTCAGATGTCTGGGAGAGCCGGCCTCAAAGGTCACTTCATGTGGCCTTTCTAATCTATCATATTTTTCCAGGAGTGACTTTGAGGAAAAGGAGGATTTTTCTCAGACAGACGTTGTGTTTACTGGTTTCACGCCATTTCACACAAACAGTTTTATTACAGGGAGACGGAGGTTGATGGAAGTCGGATACAAATAATTAAGTGTTCCATTTAGCTCTAATTGAACCAAACTTGTTCTGGGCTGTTTTGCTCAGACCCAGATCATTACACGACATCCACATGTTTTTGAGTCTTAGCTGAACCAAAAAAACAATGAGTCACAGGCACATGACGCCACGGCTGATAGCATGTCGTGTCGCTCAGGACTTCAGAGCTCGTCGTCTGAACTCTGACCTCTAATCCTGACAAACCTCCCTGACCTCTGCTGGGGTCAGCTGTTGACATGGACTGTTCAGCACTACACAGCCTGACTTCTGTGGCTGCTGGTGACTGGGGGGAGGAAGAGGGGGCAGGGCTGGGGACGGTTGATGGTTGAAGCGGACAGATGACCATGTTTACTGTATACGCCTTCTTTTTACATAAACATAGAGCGAGATGTAAATGGAGGAGGTCACCTCACTATGACCAGACGAGTTGATGAAAACTCTTTACACTATATATCATAATATAACTGTGGGTTTAAATAGTTTCTTACTGATTTTAATTATTTTATTAGAGATTCCCAACTGGGTCACATGACTCTGCAAAGCACACAGCTCACTTTATACTTCTTTATTTTCCACCTAGTGCTATGTTAATAAAATCGAGTTATTACAACTGTCACTGTAAGAGTGACTGAGGAGGAGTCAAGATTAAATAAAATCCTGATTTCAAACTATGTTTGGTGAATAATAATAATAATTAATATTATACATGTAATTGTGTCCAGATTTTGGCAGGAGACAATGATTAAAGGGTCACACGATGTCCCCACATCTTAACTTCCTGTTGTAGCCATGCTACGATCCTTCCGTTGTGTTGTTTCAACATCCAATATTTACATGTAAATTGTTGAAACCCTTCCGTCTGTAATCCAGGCCAAACAGGAATGTTCAGGAAAAGACACAAACTGTGTCATTATATTTGTGATGGTAATGACTTTAAATGGCAACGCAAAAGTACCATTACGTCCAGATACCGTAATACATATATTAAAACGAGGCTCAAAGTCCATTTAATTTTCCCGTAGATGTGAAATGTTAAATAATGCAGTTTTAATCACATTAAACCATAAAATGATTTCATAATTACTGTGACCTTCTCCCACAGGAAACATTAGCTGCACCAGGATCACATGGACCTGGTAAACATAATGCAAAACACAATGAGAACTTCCAGAAAAGTTTGGAAAAGTTTAAACAGAAGAATAGAAGATGGATGTGATCTTATATAAGAGACAGACTTTGACATCTGCTGCCAGCAGCTGCATTCACAACGCCACAGCACGGACCTTTACCTGATTCTGACATATAGGGGGCACCCTGTTAAAATGTGACAGCAAAAAGAACAGGGTCAGAGTTCAGTGAGATAAGAGCCAGCGAGTCTATTCTTCTGTACATACTGTGACTGTCAGTACTTTTACCATCCACATGCTCCCTCAGATGTCTGGGAGAGCCGGCCTCAAAGGTCACTTCATGTGGCCTTTCTAATCTATCATATTTTTCCAGGAGTGACTTTGAGGAAAAGGAGGATTTTTCTCAGACAGACGTTGTGTGTGAAACAGTCCAGAGGCCCACACCTATCCCTGGGTTAATGGTTAATGTGGCAGGAAGTCATATGAGGGAACACTGGTGGTCTGCTTATAGAACATGGGAAAGCAGGAATCGGACAGAGTTTACTGACACATAGAGGTTCACACAGACCCGTTTGACTGCAAGAACAATGAGCTTGACACATGATTCATCCCACAGGCTCTTCCTGGACGCCAGCATGCCGCAGGAAAAGATGCAGTCGCGTGTCAGGGCTGAGAGGGACATCCACCAGAGGGCCCGCTTCCTCTTCCCAGTGCGTCTGCAGGGATGGAGGTGTACTGCCCAGGAGATAGGCTTCTTCCTGGTGCCATTTCCAGGCTTGGCAAAGACAATACGGTGCAGCTTCAAGCAGGTCTTGATGAATGCTCTCACACTCTGAGGTACGGGCAGATTTATAGCAGCAGTGCCACAGAGCCATTGTCCAGCAGCCCTGTTTCCCAACATGCTGCACTTGTGATCTGAAATGAACCCTGGAAGATACAGTAGATACGTATGAACCCACAGCAACGCTGCGTCACAATACATTTTTTACAGCTTCCTCTCAGAGTCACACGGTCGCTCCATCAACACAGGCACAAACACGAACACCAGAGACTCTCACACCCTTCAAAAAGTTTAACATGAATGAAAATTGAATAAAATACTTAAATATTAAATAAAGTTTTAGTCACTGTAAGTCAGGGGTCACCAACTATATTTGTCAGGGGGCCAGATTGTTTTTTTTTTTAAAGACACTTTGGGGCTGGACACTCGAATAAAACAAAATTAAAAAACACCAACACATTTTTTGTAACTTTTTGGAATTCAGTTGTGGACTGAAATGGGCCTGCGGGCCACCAGTTGATGACCTACTCAGACACACACAGATACAAACAAAGGGAAATCATTGTACAATAAACCTTTAATAAATAGTTTGTCATTAGTTTCCCATATTTACATCATAACCACCATGTCCTTATGTTGCCACACTCATTTCTTGGCTAATTTTAGGCACACAGAGAGAGGGGTGGGGGGAGTTCAGGCCACAGACCACGTTCGTACTGAAAAACCAAGAGTGGTTAGTAGCAGGTAGGTCTGGAGGAATCTATTCTTATAACTGGACCTTAAACCCAAACAGACCCAGAAGTGGTTGACTTTTTGAGCAACAAATATATACATTTACTGTCCTTTCACTTGATTTTTAGTCAATCCAGAATCTTCTGCACACGGGGCTGGTGTAGAATCTTACCAATGTATGCAGAATCTGAATGAACTTTGTTGGTCCAATGATGATAAAGGAGACACACACACATAGAAAAAAAAAAAAAAATCCACAAAAGATAAACAGTAACAGCGTCCACTAAAGTAACATCCCCTCTTAAATAACTAAAGGTGACAGGCATATGAAAATGTTAAGGTGTTGCGTGTGGTAAACACATGCAGCTCAACTGGTACGATCAGCGACCGACTATGAACGCCACACTAGTAACCGACCGGGGAGACATGCTTGTTATTAACAGACGACTGCTAAAGGAGGTGGTCTGAACATTTCTTCCTTCAAATGGTGAAGCTGAAAAAGACTTCTTAAAATGACTGATGTTATAAAAAAAAATACATGTATAAAAATAAGAGCATTAAAATTGAAATTTCAGCCAAAGAAAGGCAGAAAAAATAGAAGCGAATAGCCACGCCATTCAATCACACAGGTGTAGGAAAACCAAAACAAACACAAATAGTTTGGCACAAAACAAATAAATGCACCAAAAAAAAAAAAGCAAAACAGAATTAAACCCACTGTTACTGGAGAGTTTGAACTGGCATGAGTCAAAATGAGAGAAAAATCAGCAACACGCAAAAAGATTATTATGAGTTCATGATGATATAAACATTAACATTTCCAAATGTGTATTTTTATTCTAGCACAATTAAAAAAAGCAACCAATTCTTCTTCCTGTTGTCATCTCTATGATTGAATGTGGAAAACCTGGATATAATAATCTGGATTATGCTGATCAGCTCCAGCTGGGATTACAGTAGGAACTCAGTTTGAACGGCAGAATGAACCGAGTGAAACCATGGGTGACCTTTTGTCAGCTGCAGCTGTAACATCTGGTTAAATCGAAGGAGCTTCTCATCCACTGTGATGGAAACATGCTGCTGGTACTTGCCCTCCTGTTTTTCCCATTCTTAGTCCTGGTTGTGACGTGTGTGGAACTACACCAAACTAGAAATCGAGTTACACCTGCTCACTGGAAATACACGAAACTAGAAATCGAGTTACACCTGCTCAAATCATTGTTGTTTTTTCTAACCTCTACACCTGCAGCAAAACATCATTGATTTATCACCTATATTAACTCAAAGTCGCTCTGAGATGGTGATCAGGAAGCCTCAACCGTGTCCTAAATAAATGTCAGCAATCTGAGAAACTCAGACGTCATAAAAAGAAACAGGTTTTTTTTTTATATAAGTGAGGAACGACTCCAATGGGAGCGATAGCATATGATCACAGAGCCTTCTCAGACCGGGGTCTTCATCCAGGTTATAAAATGTGTGTGTGTGTGTATATATATAATTATATATACTGTATATAGAGTTACTTCAAGGCAACGTTTGTATCTTGACTAAAACTATGAGGAGACAAAAAAAAAGGTACAACCCAGGAGTACGACTCCTAGACGTAAACATTGTAAAACTGTTTCAGCTCATAGACTGGTCTCTGTCGTCTGAGAGAGGTGTGATATTTAAGGAAGAGTGTGGTCTTATATGCGGTGGCGTCTGACCCCCGTCCTAAGTGTCATTTGGCGGCTTCTCCTCTGTCGCTGCTCCACACAGACACAGGTTACTGTGCCTCCCTGCTCCGTTCTTTCTCGAAGCTGTGGTTGGTTTGAGGTGGGAGGGGAGTTTTTCACCGTTTGTTAGATTGTTGATGGACTGACAAGTGACACATTGACTCTGACTCGAGGGGGAAAAAAAAATAAACATCACACGGAATTTTGTGACTCTTCGTCGTCTGCACACACCGGTTTACACTGGTTGTTTTTCCACCAGGAGGGGGAGCAATGCTGTATTTCCTACTGTGTTAACGTTTTATAGAAACCACGTATTAAAGTCCAGCTCTGCCAAGTCACACACACACACACACACACACCTCTCCAGTGCAGCCTGAAAAACACTCACACTCTCATGGTCCGGGCTCTCACAACAACCCTGCTTTAAAAAAAAAGCTGCTGAGGAAAGAGCGCCCACTGTTGTGCTGTGGATAGAAACACAGACACGTACACCTCGTTTGTAGCACTACAGTCCAATGTGTGCCTGAGGTCCATTTGTGCAGGGGGGGAGGTTTGGCTGGGCAGAGAGCGAGTCTGCCCCCTGTGGCTAAGGTTATACACTGCTGTCTTCCAGTAGTGGTTCCTTGCCCTCTGCCCCGCTGCCCTGGGGGCTGTGAGAGTGACTCTGTGCCCCGTTGCTGTGCTTCTTGTAGGCACCAGGCCTCGAACCAGTCCCCGTGTGCTCCGGGATGAAGAGGGCGACCAACAGAGACAGCAGCACTGAGCACGCACCGAAGAGGAAGGGCGGGCCTGGGATGATGGCACTCTGCAGGGAGAGATGAAGACAACAGTCAGGTACAAGTACGAGTCCTGTGGTTCGGCAATAAATGATGCAAACACCATGGAGAATTATTGATGCCAAAGATTAGCACACAACTTTAGTTCAGTCCTTTTAAATGTTCATTTCTTTTTACCTCGTCGGTGGGGTTGGCCATGTTGGATTTGGCACCTTTCTCAGAACCGTCTGTGTCTGACAACTCTACGTGAAACAGGTAGAAGACAAAACCGTACAGAGCTGGACCCAGACCGTTACAGAGGCCTCGGATTCCTGTGATCATTCCCTGGACAACACCTGCAGACGTAGAGATACACACACTGGTGAGGTGAGGAAAATGTCCAGGAGGAAACTAAACTGACAAGAATAAACAGCAGAAGTCCAGTCATGACTAAATAAATGAAACACGGCAGGTGGATCTGAAGCCTACCTTGTTGGTCTGGATCTGCGTTACGGGACACAATGGCACTGATAGCTGGAAAAGTGATGCTGGACATGGCAGCAACAGCCCCTGCTGCCCACATCATCCTAGAACCCAGAAAATATATTACATTATATATTTATACGTCACATTTAGGAGAGCCTATCTGCAACATTTGCTAACATGTGACAACATATTATTGTAATTAACTTTACATTCTTTATTCCAGGTGAACAAACACAACTACCCAAGTTTGGTGGGTTGTTTAAAAGCCAGGTCTAAAGTTCAGGAAAAATTATCTGGTTCTGCACAGATGTTACCTTGCACAAACATTATTTTCTAAATATTCTAAATGCCCTGTAAATAAAATCAAAACATCGCACACTCAGATGTTTTACACAACACTGCCCTCTTGTGGTCTACCAGGGAATTACAAGGCCTTAGGAATTTCTTTAAAAAATATCAAATATACTTTTCAGCAGTGTTATAACTCAGATTCCAGAGTTTTGCTGATTTCGTTTTCTAACCAAATGTAACTAAATAAAATATTTTATATTGTACGCAATGTACGTCATTTTTAATATATAAAATAATAAATATAATAACAAAAACCCCAACATCAAGTAGAATAGTAGAAAGTAGAAAGAATAACTATAAAAGAAAGAATAACAGAAAGAATAACTATAAAAAAAAAAACATTTTAAAATGTTCCATGAAGGTGTGTGTTTATATAAATATTATACTGACCAGGGCTGAGAGCCAAAGCCGTACCACGCAAGCTGGAGGATCTGGAAGCCGAGGCCGAGCAGAATCGTGTTCTTATTTCCTATTGACCTCATTAAGATCCCCAACACTACCGTCTGTGGAGGCAGAAAACATAACCCAGAAAATCAACACAACATTACTCATTTTCAGACCCCAACTGTATTAGTGTCCTGTATTCTGAGCTCAACGTGCAAAGTACATGGTATTATTTATAAAGGGTTTCATTTAAAAAAAAACAAAAAAAACATACGACAGACAAAAAATAAAATATGTTTATTAGGCTTAACACGGGGGTAAATTTTCCAAGTACCTGTGCTAGTATTGAGAGGATTCCCACTACTGCGATAAAAGCAGCCACAGTCTCTGAAGAGAAGCCTATAACCTGGGGGGAGAGTGAGCAGTGAAAAGTCACAAGTTAGTAACCAAAAAGAAAAACACAGTTTTCCTTATCTCCTGAACCAAATGTGTTCAAGTGTTTTCCCCCCTGTATTCATTTCCTCACTTATTTTGCTTTTCAGCATAAACAGCAGCACAGACAACAATACCCTGTGAGGTGTGAATGCATAAAGAAATCTGATAAAGAAATCTGACCCAGGTTGGGGGATGGGGTGGGTACGTTAGCCCCAACACTCCAGAGCAACATCACACTTTGTGAAGCTGGTAGAAGGTATCAAACCTTTGTGTGTTGTGTCTCACCAGCCTGACTGGTTTCACTGACTTTGTTGACATGATACTAACGTTGACAGTTCAGAGAGTTGTCTTATCAGTCTGTCTCAGTGGGTTCACTACCACTCAATCATATGTCTGTCTCAGTGGGTTCACTACCACTCCACTTCTGGCCATTCTTATTCATGCAAGCACTGATTTCTCTGACTTAACACTTAATGAATTTGCTCCATTTATTCAAGCAGTGCTGATCTGATCCAGCTGTAATGCTGAAGCTAAAGTGCGTGCTCGACAAGTTTTCTCAACTGTTTTCAGGTCATTTTTAAGATTTATATATATCACTATACACAGAGACACAGTGGGAGGTGCAGGTGCCCTTGACAGTTCAACGTAAGAGCAAACCATGTGCATTTACATGTGTGTTGGTCGGACATTTACCTGTCTGAGATAGAGGAAGAAGCTGGAGTACTGGCCAGCCTCAGGAAGGTAGGAGAGGAACACTGTGATACAGATGAGGAGCACCGTGGAGTCTTGGCCCACTTTACGTAGAGACTGAAGATGAGATGAGTAAGAGCATTTTAATTTTTTATTTACCTATCAAACAAATGATGTAATGGTGGTGTGTTCATGTGTTGTGTCACTTCTGTCTGTATTTTCACAATTTTACAAACTATTTTAAGAAGTCATCATGACGTGTTATGTCTAAAGGTGACATTAGGTATGTGAAGGTAATGTTGAAAGATGATTTACAACTGTGCGCTTAGTTTTATAGCATTATAATTCATTAATCTGCACAAGACGTCCTAGGCTATGTGATTAGTAGTTTATTTAATATAATTTAAAAAATAATTAATATCAGTCCATGTTTAATAAGCTACAAACTGATGTCATTAAAATGTATTGCTTTTTTGACAACGGCCGTCTTAAATTCCTGTTCCCAACCTTTACCTCCTCTCTGGGAACAAATAGATTTGGAACCTGAAATGTTGGTTTATCTGGGGCAAACAAGAAACACTTTTCCCTGTGAAACACTACACCTTCAGTGGGCGTAGTCAGTAAAGCTGAAGGAGACAAGTGAAATAACAACACACATCATTGGTTCTTAACATGGTAAAATAGAAGAGACAAAAAGTTCTTTAGTCCTGTAAAGATGCTGAAATATAACAGTCTTTACTATAAAAAGTATATTTCACAACAATAACAGTATATTTCAAAACAAGGGAGAAAATTATTGTTTGTACAAGAAGTGAGTACATGTACTACATTACGCAGTACCTTCTGATAAGGGTGAAAGGTCACAGTTGGATTCTAAACGAACTAAGACACTTCTGTGGAGCAGTGTCTTAGTTCATTGCGAGGCATGTGACGACAGGCTGCGTCAAGTCTATCTGGATTTTCTAGTACCCGTCTTGTTTGATTCTCTTTTGTTTGGAGTTACACTTTAGTAGGCTCATGACTTAAATTTTTTTTTTTAAATTGAAGCTTCAAAATTCAGATCTTAAACTTTGTTTGATGTGGTACAGTGGCATTCATCACGAGTAAGCTCTTCACTTCAGGAGACCAGAGTTCTGACCCATAACTAAGTGGTTTGGCTAAGCCAATCAGAAACGACCATGAGACAATGATATCATGGGTAATTTACCTTCACATCGACCAGTGGTGGTGCAGAGACTACACATCGAGCTGCCCCACTTAACCCCTGCATTTTGCTGTTTCAACAATAAAGAAAAAAAGACAAAGACTGGATTTTCACTCACAGCAAATGGATCTGCCTGTTCCCAGGATATCGGGGCTCCCCACGACGCTGGTCTCATCTTCTCTGGCAGTGACTCTGGTACAGCAACCAGGATGAAGCAGATATCAAGCAAGGCTATGGCTGTAGCCAAGATCACCACCAATGTGTCACCGTAGGCCACAGACAAGTACGCCCCAATGGCTGGACTGGTCACCAGGCTGGCCGCAAAAGTCGCTGAAACCTGGTGAGGAAGGATGCAGTAGAGCCAAGTGATGTGATTTGACGCGAAATGATCCTTATTTATTTAAGATATTTTTCTAACAAAACACAAATTTAAGGACTGTTTCCTTACCAAACCATACGCTGTGCTCCTCTCATGCTCTTGCGTGATGTCTGCCACGTAGGCAAAGATCACAGAGAAGGTGACGGCAAAAACACCAGACATGGAGATGACTGCAAAATACCACCTTAAAGAGGAAATCAAGAAATACCATTATACTTATAGTCTGTTTGAGCCCAGTTAGAAAGAAGACAGGTTTCATTTATCTGCAGAAAAACTGAGCAAAAATGGACAAAACATTTCAAGGTAGAAGAAAAAAAAAGAAAAAAAAAGAAAGATATGATTTTGTACAAAGATCAGGAAATTTGGGCTCACCATGGGCTAATCTTCATCAGTGGAATGGGCGCACACGTAAAGAAAACTGTTAGCAGCAGGAAAGACTTGCGTCCCCATACGTCTGACAGGGCTCCAATCAGTGGAGCGCTTAGAAATGATAGTAGGCCCTGAAAAAAAACAAACAAAAAAAACACGTGAGAACACTGTGCTATGGACAACAGTGCAACAACCTAGAGTATACTGTAAAGTATACTAAAGTGTTGAAAAACAATTATATAACAGAGTTTTTGGTAATTTTCATTTCTTCACACTAACCTTCAAGCATTAAAATTTGATTATTAAATATGTCCCCAAGCCTTCTGGCTGTAACTGTCAAACTGTCAGCAGTACTGAACAGTATTTATTTTACATCCCCTTATTTGTAAAAGTTGACTGTCAGGTTAGCACATACTGTATCTATGCAAAAACCAGCTCAGAGCAACATAGTATGTGTACAGCTGGTGAACGTATTGGGAAAAAATGTATTTGTAGTTAACATGCACAGAGCATATCTGAGTTTTCTGTCATGTCACACTGGATGCTGTCGCACTATGTGAAAGTGAAAGAATGTTTTATTTCACTGTTTCTTACCTTGACTCCATGAATTAGCCCATTCATCAGGAATGTGTGTTGTGGAAATGTTTGGTGTAATACCTGCAGAGGAAACACAGACAACAGCACATGAGGCCCATCATCCACACAGCCAAAAACGTCATTGTAACCCTAACACACTGGTTTTACCTCCTTTACAACCTACAGATAAAGAGGTTTCAGCTGAATCACAACATACATTCTGGTGCATTAGCCGTTTTTTGTTAATGAGGAGAATTGTAAGCCTCATACACCAGTGCCATATTTCTAGCTGTCTCAGTTTTCAGATGGAGACAAAAGTCTGGGACAACGGCCAGCTTTTAGACATGTCAGTCCATTCGCAGCAGATTCAAAAATATTTCATATTATTTAATGTGGAAGTTGTGGAGCTAAATGTTTGCCTTCAACAAGAAGTTTTAAATGCTGGTGTCAGTTCTGAGGTTTTGAGGATCTTTGGAAGAAAAAAAAAACCCAAACAATTTAATACATTTGAGTTATGTATATATTTAACTTCTGGTGACGAACAGGAAGTGAAGAAGCAACAACGTGTGATGTGAACATGTTTAGGGGGTTACAGTTATCCTGAGGACGTGCGTGTGCGAGAGACAGAAAAGGAAGTAGTTGGTGACCACAGAGATTATGTGAGAAGAGGAAGCTCTTACACATTAAGCTCCTAATTCATTCATTTAAATAAATACATAAAAAAAAACACTTGTATAGAACAAGATACAATTAAATAAATACATAAAAAACACTTGTATAGAACAAGATACATTTATGCACTAAGCTAAGGTGTAGCCCTCTGAGACACCTCTGACATTCGAGTAATAAATGCCTGGCTCTCTCTACAGAGACAAAAGGTTATCGACAAATACATGTAGTTTATTTAATAAAGAGGTGGCTCTACAGAGACAAAAGGTTATTGACAAATACATGTAGTTTATTTAATAAAGCACAGGAAATAATAAGGAGGACAGAGCAGAAAAAATAAGAACAATCTCAAATCTGTTACAATCATCAAAATATTTTGTAACTCTGCAGGTCTGTTAAGTTCAACGATCCAGAGTGCAGCACAAACTGCAGGCAAGTGTCACTGAACCTGACGTAGTAACACAAAGACTTTCATTTCACTTAGGGCATGTAGAGCTGAAATGACACAAAGCAGTTGGACCTGGTAATTGTTCAGGAGTGAAGCAGGGAACACTCCTGTCATGGCAAAGAATTCCCCTTTGTTCCCCAAGGAGTCAGTTGCCCACATCCAGCAACTGAATGCTCAGTGCTGACTGTTGCTGTTGGATACTAATGAAGCAGAGTGCTCAAAGAGAGCAGTGAAGCACTCACTCTTATTATCACCCATCTTCTGATTAGGCCAGAATGAAGTCTTGCCTTGGTCTGAGGATCGTTAACACAACAAACCCCCAGGAATTAACTCCCGGCCATCACAAACACAATACTCTCTTCAAACAGAGGTGGCAGGAAAGTACACATTGTATAACCTCATCCCTGTCCACATGTTATGCCAGCAAATATTTGTCCATCATCTGTTTGAGATATCAGTTCATGTTAGTGGTAAATCATTAACATGATTATTGAAGTCCATAATTAACCCCCCCTCCCCGCAATATAGCACAGCAAAAGTGAGATATTGTTACATTCAAATCACTTTCGTTTCTATAATACCTGTACTAGCTTGCATATTACCACAAATGCCACCTAAAGTGGTACATTTGTGGAAGTTAACAGGACTACTTCACTTTGAGGTACACAGAGGTAACGAGAGTTCTGTCATATGTATATACAAGCCTGTTGTGTTTCTCAGTTTAGTAGCACCCCGTCTAAAGCCTCAGCTAAGGCCTCACTTTGATTAGAAATTTGATTATTCATAGGCTCTGATGTGGCTTCAGTCCTTCAAGAGGAGAGGCTACTGTTCAAGTGGAGTTTCAGCAAAGGGTGATGCAAACACAGGAAAAATAAGGCTGTCAAATTGCATTGTGTTTTCATAAGAGCAGGTAAAACCACGCTTACCGTGAGCATTGGTGTGGTGAGGAGACCCCAGGCAAAGAACTCCAGGAAGATGACCACCACAGCATGGTAAACACTGGGCTCGCCGATTCCCTGAGGCTGCATAGAGACAAAGACACACAGAAATGGATAGATAGGGATTTAGTGGACGTGCATTATCCAGCACTGTGTATTAAAGAGTCCTTCAGTAGAAATGCATTAACAGAATTAATGATCCATTTCAAAGCAGACAGATAATTGTCAATACTAGACGTATGGCTTATAATCTGTCACTTCAGTGTACAGACACAGTAGTGGTACATGATGTATGCTTGTCATTTACTATGAGCAGGTAATATATTTTAAGACGACAGTTACTCAAAGAAAACATTTGTTTGGTAAAAGTCAATGCAGCTACAACAAAACTTTCATCATTGATTGATTATTGCATCCATAAAGTTCGTCAGTTCCGGCTGAGCTTGCATCTTTAAATCATCCAGTAGAGTTTTAATTTTAAATGGACAGAATCTGATATTAAACATAGAATCCACTGCATTCATTCACGTATGTGTGTCACACCACTGTGGTTGACAGGCCAGTAAAAAAAACATTCAGTTTGAACAACTTGGTCAAAAGTCCTGGGTGTAACGGGACACAGGTATTGATTGACAGGTATGTTTTTTTAACATTATGCATTCATTGTCACTTCATATGCCTGTAAGTCAGATTAGTGATTACCTTTAGAGAACAACAAAAACCTACTAATCTTAAACAACACATACATACACACCATATCTTTTTGTACAAGTAGCTAAACCTGTCAGCTGACAGTGAATGTCTGCAAAGCTTGTTCTGTTGACTTAAAGATTGCCTAACATAATGGTTGAAAAGCTACACAACTACAACTGAGCACATTTCGTATGTTACCTCTCCAAACACTTTAACAGATAATGTACAGTATTCATGTGCTCTACACCACTGCTTAGATCATTTTTTATTTAAAATATGAGAATATACATTTAGGTATGCCCACTGAGAAGATTCACAAATTCCCCACAAATACCTCTTATGAACCTTGAGTACAATACACTTACAATATATCAATGTCAGACACATACATAGCAATAACATTAAATAAATTATAAATATTAGTTAATTTTTTTACTTCTGCGTTTACAGCACCCCTTGCAGGTAAGGGGCGGGATTTCTGGAAATAAACAGTAAACAATAGTTTTCGTTAAAGTACAAGCAAAAACAAATTGTGTCATTGACATTAGATAGCATTTGGTAATATTAAATTGTGAAGAAAAAAATAGCAACTATACTGTTTTGAATGATGTAAAGGTGCTGTTGCAACACTGGGGTTTTACTAACTGTAGTAGTGAAAGCAAACATTATCAACCAAGATGTTTCGTTCCCTCATAAATTAACAAACAGCATTACATTAAAAAGATTAATTAAATCACAAGTAACAGTAAATTATATTTTGACAAAAACTCCTATCGTTCATATATGCTACCGAGCTAATATCAACAGAGCTCGTGGTTTCCACATCTTTGTGCTACAAACCTATTGGTTTGAACTGTGAATTCACTTGGGGTAATGTTCATAGTGCCATTCGTACATTTAAGATGGTCTAAAACGGATAGTGGCTATTTTACGAGGAGAAAACTGTCGATAAATAAAAACAAAGCTAGCCAGTTAGCCAAGATGACGTGTAAACGGCAGCTAACGCCAAACATAGGCCGCAGTAGCTACTTAGCTTTGCGGTCACAGCTAACGGGGGAGCTCTACTAGACGAAGAGTCACCAAATACCGACTAAAATGCGAACTATCCTTTAATAAACAAAGCTTGGGCATACCGTCAGATATACAAATATTATGCAGCTAAGTGACAGACTAAATCGATGAAGTTAAATAAATATTAAACTCACACTTCCTCCATCTTTTATTATAATTTTCTTGGCGAGAAGAATGCTGCGG